TATCAAGATGATCACCAAGACCCAATCCAATAATATAAAAGACCATTAATAAGTATTTATACAAAATATTATTTTATTTTTGTTAACATAAATCAATATTATCTTCTAATATTACTTTACTAAATTGAAGTTGTTTTTTCTGTTGTAGTTATAATTTTTTATTTTTTTAATGAATCTAATTCAGCTTAAGCCATCATACATTATTCTTAAGCTGTATGATAATCTTAATTAGCTTTCATGAATTTTTCTTTCCAAACATTTGCTTCATTTGAATAATATTTTAATTTTTCAGTTGTCTATTAAAATTCACTCATTTAAGATTCCAATTATCTTAAAGTTTATCTATATTAAGCAATTTCTTAATCTTTATTTCTAATATAATTATAATAAATTTTACTAAATGATTCTAATTTAATTTTGCATTTCTAAATTAGATTAATTTAATGCTGCTTCTAATTTTAAGATTTGTCTTTCTTTATCAGCTAAAGCATCTCTTAATTATCTAACTTCATCTCCACCTTATAATAATTATTAATATTCAGATTATAATTTTTAATACCTTTATCTCCATGAATCAATTTCACTTTATTAATTAGATATTTATTTCCTTAATCCATCTTCAATATCTTTCATCATCTTTATTTTAGCTTCTAATTCTCTTATTTAAAATTCTTCATTAGATGTAACTTTTAAATCTTAACCCTAATTTTTATATCTTGCTAATTCTGTTTATAAATCATAAATCTTAATTTCTAATTCAACACATTTCTTTTTCCATGGCTCTTCAACGTCTTCAACTGATAGTACTTACATTTCTCTTTCTACATGATACAATTCATTTATTTCAGGTTATTATTATACTTATTATAATGGTTATTATTATTATTATTATTATGGTTATTATTATTAAGGAGGAGACATTTATTAATATTGATATTATGGTAATTTATACTCATGAGTATGATGCCTATAATCAACTTATTCTTTTACATATGATGTGTCTATAAAGTTTTCACTTATTAATTCTGCATATACTAATTAGAAAATCCTTACTAAGTATAAATTTATTATCCACCAGATATTCTTAATGGTGATTATTATCCTTAGAAACCTAATCTTTGATTTCCACTTGCACCTAATATTACTGATTGCACTGGTACACTAACTATTGGCTATTATTAATACATTTATTCTTTATTTATTATCAATTATTTATATTAGTTATTTATCAAATATATCACTTATATAACAATTTTCCTTTTTTTATTATCATCCTGTCTTTTGTTGAAAAACTTCTTTTCTTATCAATTTATTATAAAATATCTTAATATTCTGTTTACATTGTTGTTGGTTCTAACAATTATCCAACATGAGAAGTTGGAAACATTCTCTGATGTAAAGTTTACAATAATCTCTCATTCAATAAAACAAGTTCTATAACCTTTTATTTATCTTCTTTTCTAAAAACATTAAAATCTGATAATTTATTATCTAATTGTATATTTTTACGACGGCGTATAATATCTTTACGAACTTACTTTATTATTTACAATTTAATACCTCCACACAATCTATAAAAAATTCTTCATATTCACTCCTTGTTGCAAATGCTTTTGTAGATTAACTAATTGCTTAATTCATTTTTTAACGTAATTATTATATTTATTTTGTCTAAGTATTCTCAATAAATGAAACATACTAAGCTATTTAATTTATAATCTAACTATAATCATCATTTGTTATTTTATCAAACATATCTTATAAATATTTTATATGTTTTGGTTAAGTCTATCCAGACATTATTCTTTTTTGCTTAGGTTATGTACAAAATAATTATTATTCTTTAATCTATTCTGTTTATTCTGTTATTACACTAGTTGTATGATTAATAACTTCATATCTCTTGTTTTTTCTCATTAATTATTTAATTTATTGTTCTAGGAACTCATTTTCTTTTTAAACTTCTTGTAATCTAAATTTTAATTCAAAAATTTCTTTATTTTTTACTTCAACTTTAGTATAAAGTTTTACACTTTCCTCTCTGAACCATTCTAATTATTACTCCATATTTTAAATGCGCTTATTATCTTTATAGAACTTCTCCATTTCAATACTTTTCTCTTTTAAATATTTTAAATCTTCTTTGACTTATCTCATATAACCATTATAAGCAATAATAAATTCAGAAAGTGCTTTTTCTTTAACTAAAGTTACTTTTGATTCTAACATATCTAAATAATTTTCCACTTGATTTTTTAAATCATTAATTCTTGTTAATTTTTATGGGGATGATGGTTAAGATTGAATATCTTCATAATTCTTTCCAGATATATATGATTTATGAGAATTTCTTATTGCAAAACTTTCACTATCGAACATAAATTAATTAATGAATAAGTAGTTAAAAGATAAAGAAAACAAACCACAAATTGATAATGCAAAATTCAAAAGAATAGTAACAACTGATAGAACTGCTTCTCCAATCAATCAAATCTTAACTGGAATGAGAAAATAATAATCTCCTCATTTATCGGCTAGAACTCCTAAAGAATCCTAAAGTAGAATATCTAATAATTGTGAATAATAATTACAATTTGATAACATTTTAGAAATGGAAGAGAGAAAAAGAAAAATTAGAAAATTTAAGTAATGTTTAACTGAAAATATTGAAAAATTAAAAGAATTAGATTATATCAGTCAACAAATATTACATTTTGAAGATTATGTCAATTCTATTTTAAAGAATATTAAACACATTAAAGTAATTATCTATATTCCTATTCATAGAGTGAAATCTAAGAATAAATTATGTAATAATAAATAAATTAAAAAACTAACATTCATCAAATAAAAGAGTCAATTAAATAGATGTCTGATGATATTTCATTGAATGAAATCAATATTATAAAAGAAATGTAAATGAAACCATTTAATAATATTATGTCTCATTATATGAATAAATGTGAAGGACATTTAGAGAAAATTGAAAATATGATTATTTCTGTCAAATAACACTTAGAATTTAAAGAATTATGTAGATAAATAGAATAGAAACTATTGACTTTAAGAAATTAATCTCCACATTTTAAGGAAACATGAATATGATAATTTAAATCATTCTTGTTGTTCTTTATTTATTTAAAACAAAAATTTTTCAGGAATTATCCATCCTGTTACTAAAGGCAAACCTTACTAATAAATTAATAATAATATTTACTTTCATTTATTCGCATATCAATTTAAATTATGCTGATGCTATTTGAACTTCATATTTCTATTCTTATTATTGCTATTATTAATGTGATTATTATTATTGAGGAATAGCATATAATTGAATTCTAGCAGTTCTATTTGTATTATCAATTTAAATGGTGAAAGTAAGGTTACCTTTAATAGTCTATTCTTCAAGTTTGATTTCAGGATTGTTTTCTAATTCATCACATAAATCTAGAATATAGCCACAATTTTCATAACTGATAGGAAAGTTTAAAGATTCTTTATTATTAACCTAAATAATAATAAAATAATAAATAACTTCTTTTCCAGCTTCTGGTATTGGTTAAAATCTCCATAAATAAATATAATTTCTTGGATATTTCATTTTGACAACAACTGAACCTTATTTGGTTACTTAATATTATGGCTATATAATATTTAATTTTACATAACAAGGCATAAGTGAAACAATAGCACCTTTTCCTTTAATTTTGCTAATTTAATCATAATGGTTTATAACATCAAAAGAATATGAAATATTTTGATTGATATTTTTAGTCCCTTACTTTCCATAAGCTTATTTATTCAAAGTACAGAAACTAAATCTAAGATTATTCATCATTCTTAAAGAATATCCAAACATTAATTATATTATATCACTATTAAAATTTATGATCCAATAATTTATTCATTTTATCAATTCCTTCCCAAATACCTTCTCCTGTTTTTGCACTACATCTCTACATTACTACTTCTTATTCCTATTATTGAATATCTTTGCATAATTCTACAGGTGTTGATCTTGGCAAATCAATTTTATTCAAATAAATCAGCAGCACTATCTATTTTAGATGATATAATACTTTCTATTTTATTTCGCTTCCTAATTTCTTCAATTCATTTTTAACAATTTCAATTCTTTCTAAATCTGTTGTATCTACAACAAACACTAATCCATCTAAATTTTCATAATAATGAGACCATAATGTTCTAACTTTACCACCAACATCAAATATTAAATAATGCCTTGCTTTGAATTATATTGTTTCCACATTCAAACCTAATTTCAATTAGCAATACCTATTGTAGGCTAACTTTCTGTATATTTTCCATTCTTCAAATATTAAAGTATCGCTGTTTTACCACTTCCTTCTAATCCTACTATTACTATTTTAAGTTTCTTAGAACTTTACAAAGCCATGCTCATATCTTCATCTTTTGAAGAGGAAGTAAGACAACCCATTTTTATATGTGCAATATAAATTATTTATAATTAATTAGATCAAATTTTTATATATTATTTTTTTCAGACTTTATCAAAATAAATTAATATGTATTCTACTTCTATACTTTTAATTATCCTAAAACCAAATACTGTTTTAAAATGACTATTTTTTTATATTATGACATCATTAAATGAATAATTACGTCCTTTTATATTTGACCTTGATAGCGTTTAGAAGTTTAAGAAATTATAAAATTCTTAAATATTTCAGGATTATTAAGAATATGAGTAATGCATAAGCGAGATTTATTTTATTGTTGATGATTTTAGCACTAAGTATCAATTAAGGTAATCATTGTATTTAAAAATTAGCCAATTCTTGTTCAAGTCCATGTAAATGTTTTATAGTTTGTTATTCATGCATATCTGGTTATTATTTCAAAGATTTGAATTGTTATGCTTGTGATAAACCATGTTAAAATTGTGAAAATTCAACATCAAACTGTACAAGTTGTATAGACACTATAAATTAATCACCACCTTCTTGCAGTTGTAAATCAGGTATGGGTATGAATACTTCTACATTTATGTGTTTTGCTTGTTCTAGTAATTGTGAAACATGTACATCAGCAACAGTTTGTACAAAATGTTATGATGGATATTATCTGAATTCAAATGCTTGTTTTTAATGCACTAGACCTTGCGCTAATTGTTCATCAACTAATACAAATTGCACTTCTTGCGTCGATACAACTAACTAAGTTATTCCAACTTGTTAATGTTAGTAAGCATAAATCATGAATACATCAACATATAAGTGTGATAATTGTTCTAGCAATTGCGAAATATGTACTTCAACTACAGTATGTACTTAATGTTATGATGGATATTTATTAAGTGGCACAGTTTGCATTCCATGTACTAAACCATGTGTTAAATGTTCATCTAGTGTCACTACTTGTGATACTTGTGTTGATGTCTCAAAATAAACACCATCATTATGTGATTGTGCATCAGGATATTTGATGAATACTTCAAACTATTTATGTGACTAATGTGCTCATCCATGTGCTACTTGTTAAACATCTATAATAAACTGCTAAACTTGTGCAGTTACCTATACATTAAATTCAGGGATATGTTCATGTTAAAATAATTAATATGAATAAAATGGTACTCCTAAAACATGTTAGAATTGTTCAAATCCATGTGAGACTTGTTCCACAACAGCTACTAATTGTAGTTCTTGCATAACTGGTTTAAATAGACATTTATCCAATAATTAATGTATTTGTAATGATGGCTTTTATTAAAATACTGTTTGCCTTCCTTGTTAATTGCCTTGTATTTATTGTACTTCAGCTTCAGTATGTACATCATGCAATGAGCCATCACTATAATAATTACCATCTTGTACATGTTAAGCTATGTATTATATGGATTCCTCCTTTTTTTGTCAAAGTTGTATAAGTCCATGTTTAAATTGTAATTCACCTACTTTTTGCACTTCTTGTGTTGATAACTATTACATTTCTGGAAATACTTGCAATTAATGTGTCTTACCTTGTTATAACTGTATAGATATGGCTAATAAATGTACATCATGTGCTAATTCAAATTAAATAATCTCTAATCATACATGTATATGTAATGATGGATATTATATGGATTCTGCATTATTATGTTAACCTTGTATTCATCCATGTACTAAATGCTAAACAAATCCAAATTATTGTATTGATTGCGCATCAACATATATTATGAGTACTACTAATCCAAATACATGCGAATGTCCATCATAATATTTTTAAGTATTAACTAATTCACCTCCTAACTGTTAAGTATGTACATAACCATGTGATAATTGTTCTGGAACTGCAGCCCATTGTTTATCATGCATAGATTCTAATTAAACTCTTAGTGCATCTAATACATGTGAATGCAACCATGGTTATATAATGAGTGGTGTACATTGCATACCTTGTCTTAATCCTTGCACTAAATGTTCAGGAACTACAACCTATTGTACAGAATGTAAAGATTCTCAACATTATATAATTAATGGATCATGTATTTGTAATCCAGGTTGGATTAATGATAGTAATTATACTTGTATTACTTGCTAAAATCCTTGTGCCACATGTTCAATAAATAATACTCATTGTGATAGTTGTCTAGATGCTAATCATATAATAAATACTTCTTATTAATGTGTTTGCAAAGATACATATTATTCAAATACTGTTAATTCTTGTACACCATGTATTAAACCATGCGCTAATTGTGATATAAATGGATGTTTGACATGCATTGATAGTAATTAAATTATTGATTCATCTAAAAATTGTATTTGTAAACCAGGCTATTATATGGTAGGTATAACTTGTTCTTAATGTTCTTTACCATGTAAAACTTGTGAAATTAATTAAGATTATTGTTTAACATGTGTTGATGTAAATCAAAGTCAAATTAATAATAAATGTATATGTAATGATGGATATTTTGAAGTTTCTAATTATTGTTAATAATGCTAACTTCCATGTACAAAATGTCGAATTTCAAATAATTATTGTCTTGAATGTTTAGACCCAAATCATGATTTGATAAATAATTAATGTATATGCAAATTTGGATACGGTCCTACAGGAAATGGAGGAATTAATTGCTCTTAATGTAAATATCCTTGTCTTGATTGTTCAACAAGTGTAACTACTTGTCTATCTTGTATTGATAATGGTCTATATCACTTATAAGACAATAAATGTTTATGTTAAGATGGTTATTATCAAATAGAAAAATAATGTTAAAAGTGTTAACCTTAATGTTTATCTTGTGTTGGTGAATCTGATAGTTGTTTAAAATGTTCTGATCTCAATCACGATTTTATCTAAAATAGTTGTTTTTGTAAATATGGCTATTACACAGATTCTTAGATGAAATGTTCAAAATGTTAACTTCCATGTGTGACTTGTTAAATCAATTATGATTATTGCACATCTTGTTATGATGATAAACAATCCATATTTAATGGTAAATGTAAATGTGATAATGGTTATTATTTGTCTGGTTTTTAATGTACATAATGTAATAAGGTTTGCACAAAATGTAATTCCATTACTGAATGCACATAATGTAAGGATGAATATTATTTGTAAAATACTACATGTTTTAAATGTAAAGTTCCTTGTTTAACTTGTTTGGATGCTAATACATGCCTAACATGCTCTGATTATTATTATATGAATGAATTAGGCTAATGTACTTAATGTATGCCAAATTGTAAATATTGTTATGATTCTGAAAATTGTATTAATTGCTAAGATTAATACTATTATGATAATCAATCCTGTATTTCATGCTTTGGTAAATGTAAATCATGTGAAAATAATTCATATTTTTGCACTTCTTGCATTGATAAAAATCAATAGTTGATAGATAATTAATGTATTTGTAAAGATGGTTATTATGAAGAGAATTATTTTTGTAAAAGTTGTAATGAAACCTGTAAAATTTGTTAAAGTTTAACATTTTGTACAGAGTGTAAATCAATAGATAACATTGTTTTGTTGAATAATCAATGTATATGTAAAGATGGCTATTATTAAAATTATTAATAATGTTAAATCTGTGATCAAACATGTTTAACTTGTTCACAATATTTCAATAATTGTTTAAGTTGTAATGAATTTAAAAATAGAATTTTAAAGAAAAATTAATGTATCTGTTAAAATGGTTACTTTGAGAATGAGAGAAATGAATGTTGGCCTTGTAATTCAAATGAAGGTAAAATAATTAAGGATTGTTAATATAAAGATTGCACTGATCTTGTTTGGACTTATGGTGAACATTGTGATGATGGTAACAATATAATCAGAGATGGATGTTCAAATTGCAAAATAGATGATAATTATTCATGTTTAAACACATTATTAGAACCATCTTTATGCTTTTAGTGTAATGAAAATTGTTTAGAATGCTAATTAAATTAACAATAAAAGTAATCTGAATGTATTAAATGCAAAGATGGTTATTTTCTATTCAATTCTAACTGTGCTAAATGTACAGAAAAATGTTTAACTTGCAAAACAAGTGCTTCAAATTGCATTACTTGTAGATTTCTATCAAATAAACTTGGAGAATGTCAATTATGTGAATAATTAAATGGGTATTATACTGATTAAATTAATAATAAATGCTATTCAAAATGTGGAGATTAATTCAAATCATAAGATGAAGAATGTGATGATGGAAACTTATTACCAGGTGATGGATGTGATCGAAATTGTAAAAAAGAAAATAAATTTGTATGTTAAAATGGAATTTGTATCACTCCAAACTATCCTATTCCATATTTATTTAGTTTTGGAGACAATTAATTATATAAGAATATTAGATAATTCAAATTAACATATAAGTTGTTTTTAAATTTAACTTAAAATGATCCAATTGAAAATTAATTTATCCTTCATATTAAGAATAAAAGTAAAGAAATTCCAATTGATTGTCAATACAAAATATTACCATAATATTAGTTAGATAATTAAACATAAGTTAATTTTTCAGTCATTTTTGAATTAAACTTTAATAGAAGCACAAGAAATGAAGAATTAATTATTAAATATTAAAATAGTTCCAAATTTATTTCATATTAAGGATACCCCTAATAAGAATAATTCATTTAAGCAATAATCCCTGAATTTATGTTTATTGAAGAGTCAGCAGTGCTTTAAGTTAAAATGGCTACAAATGGTAATTAGTATGTATTATATGTTATGGGTGCAATGTGTGGAGGAGCAATCTTATTTGGAGGTTTAGATATTTTTTACAATTTGTTAGATACAATACAAATGTTATCTTATTTAAAATATATAAACACTTAATTCCCATACAATTTGTAAGAGTTTTTCGATTTTTTTGGTTTTGCTTAACTCAATTTTATTTCCAAATATTTAAACCTTTAAGAATTAATAGATCCTTACATATCATATGAAGAGCTCAAACATATACCCTTAAAAATTGGAAAAGATGATTTAAATTCTTTATTCATTATAAATGGATCTTCAATTTTTGTAGTATGGCTATCACTTTTTGGAATTTATGTAGTATCAACATTTTTGCCTTAAATTTTATAATAATTTAAATTTAAATATTACACTGAAATACCTGGATAATAAGATATTACTTTAAAATGTAAATTGATATTTTTGGCAGCCAAAATTTTTATTCTCAAATTATGTTTCATAATGGTCTCAGAATTTTTCTTTAGTGGTATTTTTAGAACTCTTTTAGCTACTGCATATGATTATTCATTTTCTGTTACTCTTTAATTATATGCTTTATAATTAAACTCTAAAGAATTTTTGGTCAGTTTAAGCTCATATTTAGCTTTAATAGCATTCGGATTATATTTGTTGACAATTTATATTGTGATTAAGATTATTGGAGCCTCATCAATATCTTAAGAACAATAAGAAAATAAATTGAAGTATGGATCATTACTTGAAGGAATTAAAAAAGATTATTATAGCAAATACTTCAATGCTATCATTCTTGCTAAAAAACTGTTATTTATGCTTGTTCTCATATTTTGTTATTCTTCTCCATTTTTTTAAGCCATCAATTTAACACTATTGTCAGCTCTACATACTATATTCTTGATTCTTTATAAACCATTAGATGATCAAAAAGAATATAAAAAATAATTGTCTTGTGAAATTAACACAACAAGCTCTTTAATTTTGATTTCTAGTTTAGTTTTAGATGAAGAAATATCAATTTTCAGTGATGAGAAACGCGCATTAATTGGGTGGTTATGTATATCTAATATAACTTTAATTTTTATCATTTAATTAATCATGGATGCTATTTAACAATGGATGCTTTTGATAAAAAAATACATATAGCTTAGAAAGCTGATTGAAAAAATTAATTTATTATTTCGCTCTAACCCTCCCCAAAAAACTAACCATAATATTTTTATTCGAACAGATAATCCGAATGAATGAACTTATTAAATTTGTAAATAAACTTTTTGGTTATTTAAATAGATTTTTTCTAAAATCATAAAAAATGGAATCTCAGTTATGAATGTATTTTTAATAGTTTTTGCTATTATCTGTTTTCTTTTCCTTTGATTGACAACAATTTAAGAATAGGATTTATTTTAAATTATTTTGATTTTTTTATTAACTCAAAAATATAATTGTGCACTAGAAATAAATTTAAATTATATTATGATATATTATATTTAAATGCAATTTATTTTGGTGAATTTTTGAGTTATGTATCTTATTAAATTAATTATATACAATCTGAATTTTAGTCTTGTTAAATGTAATTAAGAAATTCGTTTTTCCTCAAATTTAGTAAAATCAAATTATTTGTTCAAGCAGAATCTATTCTCTTATATTATAATGAATTTAGAAATAAAACATTGAAATTAAGAATTTAAAATGAAGAATAATACTTATAAATATTTAATAAAATGTATTTTTTAGTTAATTTATTTATTTGAAAAATAATAATTTAT